TAAGCTAATGATAGTTATATAAGAGCAGATGCATGCTGGTGCAATAAGCTGTACGTTTTATGTCCAATGGATGCATGATCTGTCAACTAATCGCAAAAATAATCGGTGACTAGTCAACTATCAAAATAATTGTTTGTGACAGCCCTACTTCATAGTTCCTCTTCTTCTCAATATTTAGATTCATTTATCTTAATCTTTTCTACATTTCAGACATCAAGAAAGATCTAATTACAAGTAAGTACAAAATGTTTTTCAGTACATCACAATGAATTTGTTTCTAGCTGCCATAATAAGTCCAATGCAAAAATGAATTACTCTATTATTTTAAAAAGTAATTGCTACAGTTAACATTGTTATCTTACTGTAAACTGTTCTGTTTGACATCAACAGAAACATGTTACAATGACCGAGGTTATTTCTACCAGGGTAGTGTGAATGTAACCAGGTCTGGGACACCATGTCAACCATGGAACCAACAGGTATTGTCGTCTTTGGGTACATTCGTGTAAATGTTCCTAGAGCTACAAAACTACTTATATATTTTATAATTAAAGTATAAAACCAGCAAAAGTATGAAATAACCACATGTAATCAAAAAACAGGACACACTTGAGTGTTTTCAGCTGATTTTAACCAAGAAAAGATGCTTCACTGATATTTTGTGTGTGTTTGTGTTTTAGGTTTTATGTATGTTCAGTTTTATATTAAAACATTCCTTTCCCTTACTCAGAAGCAGAAAAGCATACAGAAATGCTTACATGTGCAAACACCAGCAAATACAGAGTCACACAAATGTGTTAAACACACACACACACACACACACACTCTTCCTGTAGCCCAAAAGCCCCTTTATGTTTTTATGGCTTTGCTCAGTGAGGGGGTCTGTTTGGGTGAACTGTTACTACTCTCCTGTGCAGTGTGTGTGTGTGTGTGTGTGTGTGCCAGGTCAGCAGAGAGGGAGGGACTCATTATGTCACATCCTGCCTCTGGAAGCAATTAGCTCTCACACGCATATGTTCCACATGCTCCGTCACTGAAACACACGCACACACACACCCACTCCCACTTCAGCATATTGGATTTGCTCACGCACATATACTCTACTATCTGCTAACTGCGAAAAAGCTTGCTTTTTAATGCAGTTCTCAAATGTTAGTACTTACACTTATGTTTACTACTGAACTGTTGTTGTTTTCTTCTTCGCAAACACACCAAACTATGTGTGCATAAGACCACATGAAGAAAACATATGAATATTTAACCGTGTCTGATGTAAACAAGTAAACATAAACACATAGGTTTGGTTTTGTATTCTACAAGAATTATATTCAGTTCAACCATCTTCACTCTTAAAACCAGTGACATGTTTACTGTTCTTGATACTGGATGACATTGGCCAGAGATGCTTGTGTGTCTGTGTGCATGGACTGGTTTGTGCAGAAATATAGTCACTGTATATTACATGTATTTATGGGAAAGTCAAGACTAGTACCACTATACCACTAAATGTGCAGTTATTTTAGCTTCAGAATGTTAACACCCTTTCTCTGCAAAATTGAAATGTATTTTAATTAAAGGCAGGCACTGGAAACATTACCAAAAAAAGAAAAAAAAATCCTTCTCCAGAATCCTATTGTGGTAAAGAGCTCATTTCATGAAACATTCAACAAACAAGTGTCAACTTGCAATATGAGCTCATCTTCTTTCGTGGTAAATTTCAATGTATGTCAAAAACAGAATCGCCGCATCACGCCTGAGCTTGGTGAGAGTTATGTAGGAATAATAAGATTACCTGCACTGTATGAAGGGTGATCATTTGTGGGGGGAAAATGCAGACAATCCCGTGGAATTGAATGTTGAATACTGAAAGTAAAAAGGTGGCATTGACTGTTTTATTTTTTTATTTGAACTGTAAGACTTTACAAATACCCTTTAGTTTGCATCCTATCTGCTAATTTGAATTGAAATGAGCTCACTTTGCACTGTTATAGCATAGTGACAATAACAATGCACACCGTCCTTTCAATTAGAATGTTCTAATCATCTAAGCTCTATGCATGGCACTATGATAAGAACAATAGTCTATTCCACATATATGCTTATCCAGCCTTAATTTTCCTTTTCTAAGATAGTCTTGTTTAAATTCTAGATTCATTCCAGAAGATTTTTTAAATTCTTATCTTTAAGACATTAAAGATGGGCGGGCTTTAGCTCAGGTGGCAGAGCAGGTCAGCCACTAATCAGAAGGTCGGTGGTTCGATCCCAGGCTGCCTCCTGGCTGCATGCCAAATATCCTTGGGCAAGATACTAACCCCATGTTTGCCTACTGGTGGTGGTCAGAGGGCCCGGTGGCGCCAGTGTTCGGCAGTTCCCCAGGGCAGCTGTGGCTACAATGTAGCTTGCCATCACCAGTGTGTGAATGGGTGAATGACTGAATGTAGTGTAAAGTGCTTTGAGGTCCTTAGGGACTGAGTAAAGCGCTATACAAATGCAGGCTATTTACCAAGACATTAGGGGAAATGTTAGCTCCTTTACATAGCCATTTACAACAGATTGGACTAGTGTAATTTTTTGTTTAGACATGATATTGTACAAATGAAGAAGCCTGGATTTTCCGAGTGTGTTTTTTAATACTATAATCTTGAATTGTGACCACAGATTCATCAAATTACTCATAAATTTGAGAGGCAGGTCTGAATTGACATCATAAACTTCGTAAGTGTTCGTAAGTACAGAAGCACTAAAGGGAGCAGGGCTTAGCAAACCACTGTGTGTTGTCTGCACTGGGACAATAGGATTGAAGCTATAAAGAACACAGAGTGACATCAGGAAGTTAGGCTTTAGTCCATGCTCCTTCCAGGAAAAGACTGTTACTTTCTGATATAATGTCCTGGCTGAACATAAGTCAGAAGGTGAGCTGTTAAACATGATGGAATCATTTTGATGATTAAGCTGAAGTTCCTGGCCAGCACCAAAGCTTTCATTTCCTCCTTGTAAGCAGCATATACCAGCATTATTGGGGTAATGTCTCTTGTAACAATTCTCCCAAGGCAATGTTAATGTGATTGCACAATTTTAAACTCAACAACCATTTTTTTTCAGTAGATGTTTTCAGATAGACCTAGGTGGTTGGGGATGTGTACTTTACAAGTTCATAAATTTACTTGCATCTCATTGTCATTTTATTATAGAAAATCAGACAAGATTTGTGTTAAATATAAACATCAGAGTGAAATCAGAGGGTGTTAAACTAAGAGTCACACCCAAAGTGTGATACATTATAGGGCAAAGTAGCTGTCCCATAACAAAATGACAGCCACACTGAAGTACAAGACGCAGAGTAAGGAGTTAATAAATAAAAATATAGTCTGGTTACAACAGTATGTATGGTCTGACACATCCTTTGTTTAAAGATTGGAAAGTAAGAGAATGGTAGGCAGCTGACCAAACCACTGAGGTACATATGCCAAAGTCCATCCTTCAAAATTAAAAAAAAAATAAATAAAAAATGTTGTGAATTATTTTTTTAATCAGTAGCTTTCATTGCCCCAAAAATTGGGGCTTTAGCCTTTAGCCCCACCCCCATTTTACCGCCTGTTTCCTCTGTCTCCTGTTTACTTTCCTGATTTTCTTTCCTGACTTTCGACACCTTTTGTTTAAAAGACGACTACAGCAAGTTGCGCATGCTTTAACCACAAATATAAATGTTTACAGAGCTATGTTAACATTGCATTCTGGGTGAGCAACTCATCAATCATAACTGTGCCATGAATTTCTCCCTTTTATAACTGAATGGGTTTCAAAACTATAGACTTTTAAAATATTGTTTTAACATATCATATTAATAACTATAATGATCCAAAATGCATTGTAGGCTAAATAGTACATTTCTTTATGCATTACGTGATCTATCTACTTTCACTAGCCATCTTTTTTTTTTCTTTTTTGTTGCTGAAAGTAACACCACACACAACCTAAAGTAAAATTACTCTGTTAAACATATTGTTCACAGGCTGTAACAGTATTAGCTTTCTGTGTGAAGGTAGGAGCTTTTAACAGTTTTCAGTAACGTGCCATGAGACCATTAGGCATTCATTTTTTGTATTTGAAAAAATGACAACTCGAGATTACTAACTGATGTGGGAGTTGAAAGTCATGCTTTGTCTTCTGTCTTCCACACATCAGAGAGCATATGCTTTACATAAATATTTTCATAATACAAATGATCCCTAATCAGCTCTATGAGTTTTATAGGAAATGAGCAGAACACTGTAATGCTCCACAACATATGCTATTTTGCTTAGAATGACTTCTGTCTCTCATAAAAATCACATTTCCGTTCAGCACAAACATGTAAACTGTAAAAGTACATGATACATGAATGGAGTAACTTTGGTGCCATTGTGTGCTGAGTCATAGAAATACTGCAGACGTTGATTCACAACTTTATTGCAGGGGAAAACATTGCTAACAAACTAAGCATACTATACAACACTGTCATTCTCATGGTATATATATATGACTCTGTGTAAGAATCATCCATAAAATAATAACACAGTGGCCACTAATTAAACATTAAAAAGGGTCGAGTTCTCTTTCTTGCAGGAAATGCAACTTGATCCACTGCTGGGGATTACTTACCAGCAGAGATCATTTGTTTATGCTCCAAAACCCCCTTTTCTGCTAGAAATCTTCTCTCTCTATGGATCTAGAGTGTTGCAGAATAGTGTTGCAAAATGCAAAATGCCTGCAGGAAGAAGATTGGGGAGGATGGTTGGTTGTATAAAGTGTTACACTTTGACATTTGGCAGGAAATGGGATGCAAGCCTCCATTGTCAGTGTATTATCTTGAAAGGCGATGACAAATGGCCTAACTTGTCATTCTACTGCGAAGACCTGTTGTTTTAAGCATTGCTGGCACCAGTTAGGATTCAACCCCATGCTGTTGACTTCACACGTTCAGCTACAGCAACATGTGTTGAACCCAACATTTTCAGTTCATGTCTTCATGTCTCTTGGGATAGAGTTGGCCATTGCTCTTTTCATGATTAAAGCTCATGACATACAAGCCCACCAGATGTTCCATATTTAAGTTGGCAGTCTAGATTCCAGGAACAGTCATGCAACCCCTAATGTCCCTCACAATAGCCCATGGTTATGGAGCTGTAACCTTACTACACAGAACAGAACCTGGAAGAAATATTTGGAAGGTCATCTTAGCTTCACTTATGATTTGAGAGTTTTAAAAACTATCCATCCAAATCAATTCTTTCTTTCACAGAAAACTCACTAGAACTGATCCCTCAGCAAAGGTAGATTTCCTCTTTACCTCCTCGGAATACAGGGTCAGCAGCAGAACAGAAAAGAGATCATGCATTACACAGACTCCAGCCCTGTACTCACAGGTTGCAAACCATGTTTATTCACCAATTAATATACTTAACCTTCCTTATTGCAGTATGTATGTTGGTGATTTTTCTTTTTCTATTTTATTCCTCTTAGTGGGAAAGGCCTGAGAAAGTGTTTCTCTTTTTTTGATCCTTACTACTGTGCTTTATTCTGCAGGTTCCCCACCAGCACCATTTGTCAGTGGATGTCATTCCAGAGTTGAAGAATTCAGGCAATCACTGCAGAAACCCAGGAGGAATCAGTGACAAGCCCTGGTGTTATACCTTAAATCCGAACATACGCTGGGAGTACTGTGCTGTTCCACAGTGTGGGAAAACAAGCATAGCATCAGGTACTGCCCTCTGCATTCAGAACTTTTTTCCCTACTTCACCTGTTTACAGTTCCTGTTTTCCTTACACTTGAAACCAACAATTCACCTACAGTAAACTAAAAGCTACTCTGTAGCCAAAACTTTGACTGCACAATCTGGATTTTAGACAACCAAGTTCTAGATTTGTCATTTGTCCAGGTTTAGTGACTTTTCCTATATCTGTGCTTTTAAGTAGTGAAGCCAGAGTCTAGAGACCCTCTCCAGACCCCTCATTTCCCTCCCATGACCACAACATCATCTCCAGCTTACTCAATGTCTGTCATCGTCGTTATCCTGACTGCTCTTGCAACTGCAGTATTTCTTGCCATTATCATTCTTGGCTGCCGCAGATGGAAGAAGCAACTGAGGAATCGGAAGAGGTAAAAGAAAGATGATAAAGATGGAATATGTGTCTTTATCTAGTGTCTGTTTTTATCCTTGTAATGCTCACGCTTATATTTATTTATTTTTATTAGAAGAGTAATAGAGACCCCGATGTTGAACGCCCTTCCATCAGAGCTATTGCTCGATCGACTCCACCCTAACCCCATGTACCAGCGTGTTCCCCTGCTGCTGAACTCAAAACTGTTGGCCCTTGAGTATCCCCGAAATAATATTCAATACGTCCGAGATATCGGGGAAGGAGCCTTTGGACGAGTTTTCCAAGCCAGGTGAGAAAGAAGAGAGAACTGGGGAAAGACAGCATGGACAAAAGAAGAGATGAACAAATATGATAAAATGAGAGATTAAGGGGAAGCAAGAGTATTTCTCATCAAATGGTTAGAGATCGAAAAGGATGTTTTCTTCCAGTGCAGCACTGCTTCTGCACACTAATATTTAATATTGCCATGTCATAATCATAATCACATCCAGGGGCTAAGCTGATGATGCTGATATGTCTAAGGCAGAGGGAAAGGGGAAGGGAATGAGACAGGACTGAGACAGAGAGAAGGATGACATGGCTAAACAAGGTCACTGGTCATTTTGAGAACTGCTGCGTCATTCACAAAGTCACAAGGCAAGCTGTTACAGGTGTCACTTTCACTGCACCCTGAGCCTGTTTACAGCATGACATGAATGTTGCAAACCTATCTCTTTAATCACACTCAATACCAGAGCTGGGTCATATTTCTAAAAAGTCATAAATCTGTCATGAGCATGAATCTAATTTTTTTAGGCTTGATAGATAGCAGTCGTCAGAAGTTTGTAACGCTCGTTATCAGTCAGAATGTTGTAATATGGGTGTAATCTGCTTAAATTCATTATGACATACAGTGGCATGACTCCATGAAGTAAACATATAGCAGAGCCACTGAAACCTATCAAATGTCTTTGACAGTTTTTTGTAGTTTACTAAAATAACCCAAATCCAATTATTTGTTGGTTGTATTTTACAAGGTTTACTGAATGCAGGATTTCACAGTCACAGCTATCTATAATTGTTTGCTGTCACAGCCAAGAATTCAGGACAGCAGAAGTAAATCAATTTAGATCTTCTAGATATAGGTTTTTCAACTTTATTAGACTCCCTCTTATTCATGCACCACAGCCTTGTCACCCATATGACGTCCATGACTGTGCTACAAAATAAAGAATATAAAGCTCAATGCTCAACTGCCTGTTTTGAAAACTAAAAAAAAATTTGATTAATACAAGAAAAAAGGAATCTCAATTTAAATAGAATTTCTTATTGTGTTGTAAGTAACATGATTATAACAAGTCAACTCAAAGCAACACATGATAGACAACATTTAAGAAGCCACATAAATATAATGCAATAGATAAACGGAGGCATCAAATCACATCATATGATAGCTTGATCACAGAGCAGTATAATAATAGCATGCAGCATTATGACAGTAGCACCTGAGTGCATAGTCAGTCAAATCTGAGAGATGTCCTTAGGGCTAGATGATAATCCCTCGTTGAAAACTAGAAAGGTGCAGTATATAGACACCTCTGGGACCATAATGCGCACATTGACTTACATGAACACAAATACATACTCTAACGCACACACTTGTATGATTATACAACTATGATATGAAACATCCAAAACAGAAGTTTCACAGGAATAAACTCGTGTGCACATGAAGTACACAGTATGTATGTGCATTCTTTAGTACAATGTAATGTATGCATCTCAATCTAAATCAAAAGGTAATACTGTTTCCTGTGTGCACATTCACTCAGTAAATACATGACTATAGAGTGCACTTAATCATTTCTGACACACACACACACACACACACACACACACACACACACACACACACACACACACACACA